GACTTGAACTCAAGCTCGATCCAAACTTGATCTGAACAACCATACAGGAGTTCCAACTTAAGCTAAAATCTTAAGTGCGACTCACTCAAGAAATAGATTGAGATGGCAATACCTGCATTCAGTAGTGGAGGACCCGATCCTATAAACAAGTACAATCATCAGACCACCTGAGATTGGTGAAAGGTGGATATGGTGTAGGGATAACTGCTCTTCTACAAATATATCTAGAAGGTCGTAGTGGATACAACAGTCTTCCGCCAGCAAGCACAAGCAACTTGTGGATAACAACAGTGGGCATATCGTAAGCACATCGAACCACTGTGGGCACAAGTATAAGTATCTCCTACGACGATCCATACGAGGTCAAACAAGTAGAAACAAAACCACCTGAGATTGGTGAAGGGAATATGATGCAAAAAGAATGAATCTCCTGCAAACATTTTCTAGAAGCTCGTAGTGGATACAAGCGGTCCCCTGCAAATGAACACTTGTGGATAACAACAGTGTGTATATCGTAGGTAAAACGAACCACTGTAGGCACAAGTATCGATATCACCTACGACATTGGTGGTCAAGATCTTCAAGCATGCCGGGTACAAGGCAGCCCGATGTATGAAAAGGACACCCACTGACAGAAAGAAGGGAAATGTTTGAACAAATTAGAACCAAACTTCCTGGTGTTCCAAAGTTTCTTCTTAGTTCTATATTTAAGAAGAAAACAGCTCTGGTACCCACAAATACCAGAAATGACAAGTCCTCTACGCCGAAAAGCCTAAAAGGAGTTCTTTCCAAATCAACAGTCTTTGACTCCAAAATCCAGAAATCCTTCACGGTGATTGAGAAGGGGGAGTCAATATCAAGATGCAACGCCACCGGATTTGCAACACTTATGAAAGCAGACAGAAGGCGTGTATAAGCTTTTCAAGGAAATGTTGTGCATTCAAATGACAAAAACATGCACAACTACAAATATTTCAAAATACTCCTACACGTGCACCGTAGTTTGTATACACATAGATACACAAGGGGTAAATACAATCTCAACCCGCATGGGCCCTGGCGAGCATGTTATTGATACACACGTGACGCCTATGGATGCTACGCGGGTTGACAAGTGAATTCAAGTTCGAATCCGATCCTTCTATACGGATCAATAGAAGTCGACAAGATTCAAACTACGTAACAAAATACACGGTTGTAGCGACCGGTGTAGTTGTTTAAATACATTCTTTTTAGGCCTTCAAGACCTAAAAATCAAGAAAATTCATAAACAAAGGCATGAAGCCTACGAAACCCGATCCTCCTAAATAGAGAAATAGGAGTAGACAGGGTTCAAGATATCGAACAAATCTGCGGTTACGGAGTTGACCGGAATATTTATTTTATGCATTCATATTCGGCCTTCAAGGCCTGAAATCAAGAAAATTCATGAATAAAAAGCACAAAGCCTATGAAACCCGATCCTCTGTCGACAGCCCGACAGAGTTGACAAGGTTCAATCAATAAAAGGAAGTAACCCCAAACACCCCGATAATGGCCGTGTTGAACGGAGATCTCAACCGGAGGGGTTCACAAATATTTCAAATTCCACTCAAGTGTCTATCAGAATCCAAACTCTACAAACTCCAAATTTCAAGATATTTAAAATTGAAATCAAATCATCAAACACTTAAAGCAAAATTCATCCACCCTACGCAATAGTTTGTCGAGGTGGACAAATTAAAAACTACTTCTGCTCACAAAGAGCCAAATGCCTAGTCGAAAATATCACTAGGATCCATTCTCAAATAATCTCTTACCAGTAAGGACGTGGTACGTGTCCTCTAACCGGCAGTTTCGCCGCCAAATGGCACTGCAGGTAAACGGTTATGACCCGAGGCCCTCTGAACCGAGTGGTTTTGCCGCCAAAAGGCACCACAGATAACGGTTATGGCCAGAGCCAATACGCTCCTTATTGGCATCAAATCCTTGAGATATGAATCAATAGGATATGATTGATAGAGCACAAAGCCCTCTGTAAGCTAAAGTGGATTCAAATTTATCCTCTTAGACAAACATCCAACCCAGGTCTACAAGGTCTCCTTGGACGAAGCAACCCATGGCTGCCGACAAAGATCCTTCTGTCAGGTTGGGTCGACTACCTCCTCTGACTAAGTAGACCAGGGACCACGATGGCCCGGGACGACGGAACCATGGGATCTTGATCGGGTCTATCATCCATTCTCCCACCATCCGCTTTAAGTGTGAGATGGTGTAATTTCTATTTTAAATATCCAATCTTCCAACTCTCCAATTCTCCAACCATTTTCCAAATTCAAACCTCAAATCCAATTTCCAAATCCTATATCCATTACTGCTACTATATGCCAGATACACGGATTTTATACGTATCTGATTGACGACTAGCCTTAATCGAAAGTTCTCTCTCGCGATCGGGAGGGGTAATTAACTATAGGGGCTTGCGCCTATAGGAAACCAGAACTCAGATCATAAAGTCCTCGCAAAATGAGGGGGAAATCTCTGGGTAGTGTCTTATCTACAAACCCATATGCCTTCCAAAATTTACCTCGGAACTTATTCAGTTAAAACTCCCTCGCCGAATTAAAAAGAAAAGAAATCGCGCGGCTGGGAGGCCAGGGCCGAATTTTCGAAGCCCACAGATGTAAAAGAGAAAATTTGATGTTTTAAATATTGTATTACATTTAAATTGAAGTGATTGAATCCTACCGTCCGACTTTAGTCCCCGCCTCGTTAAATCGAGAATTTGGGCCGAGTACACAAGAATTTTTAAAATAGAAATTTTAGAACAATTGACTATTAAACAAAGTCAAAAAACAATTACAAGACCAAGATATTTCTCATATATTTTCAAAATCACATGGATAAATGATAATACAGAATTGTCGCCACAATCTAATTGAGGGTAAAAATTTTTAAAATTAGCTTATAAAAAACTCCGCAGTCATTTGCTTGCATGGTTTTCTAGAAAATAGCAGTTCACATAGACCACATACGTAGACCAAATTCAAATATGAATAACAACAACAATAATAAGAACAACATCTAACTTTTATCCCACTACGTGAGGTCGGCTACATGAATCTTTTTTCTCCATTATGTCATGTTAAAAGTCAAATTCTTATTTAAATCTAATAACAATAACATCAAGCCTTTATCCCACTATATGAGGTCGACCACATGAACCTTTTTCTCCATTGTACCATGTTAAAAGTCAAATTCTCATTTAAATCTAATAAAGTAAGGTTATTTCTAATATTTTCTAACCAATTCTTTTTAGGTCTACCTCTGTCTTTCCTAACATAAGCCAAATTTAATACATGTACTCACCTAACCGGGTCATCGGAATGCCATGGATTTATGTGACCAAACCATCTAAGGCGACTCTCTTATCTTCTATGCCGATGGAACTACTGCAATCTTTTCACATATATGCTCATTTCATATCATATTTCTAAGAGTAAAGCCACTCATCCACCTGATCATCCTCATCTCTGCAACACTTGAACTTAATATTATGCTTCTCTTTTAATGGTCAACATGCTGCGCCAAAAAACATTGCAGGTCTCACCACCATTTTGTAGAATTTTCCATTAAATTTGAGTGGTACATTTCCATCACACAATAAGCCCAATGCATTCCTCCACTTCAACCATCCTACTTGAATTCTACTAATAATATCCCCATATATTTCACGATCACTCTGAACAATAGACCCTAAAACATATACTCTTATTAATGACTTGATTGCCCAAAATAATATCTGAATCACTATCCACAAAATACAACTCAGCATACGGCGGCTAGAGAAAAACAAAGCACTCTGCAAAATCTTACCTAGGATATAAAGGCCAAGAAAAATAAAAGCCAAACAATATAATTCATTTGGCTAATCAATTAGTATGGAAAATGGATATAATTTGGTTTTTAATTAGTGTCAATTGGAGAAAACTTTATACTACAAGGTTGTCTTCCAAACAATAATTTATCGTCCATTCTCCTTACACACTCTTCAACAAAATACGACTTCCTTGCATTAGAAGAAATGAAGTATATTTGTTTCTTCTTATTTAAAACGACTTGGGATTACTTTCACTTCTTGATCTCTAAAATTGCTCACTTCTTTCCCTCAACTTATCTTCTGGTGTATCCAAGTGTGAACTGCATAAGCCATTCGAAACTTTGGTTCTATAAAACCTTTGTGTAACCTAAAAAAAGATTTTATCAAAGATTATAATCATATTCGATTAAAGATGTAAAAAATTGAATTTACAAGTTATTGCAGTCGTTGTAGTCCTTTGCAATGTAAAAAAAAAAACCATAGCAGGTGATCCAGAAAGAAGAAAATGAGGGGTCTAGAAATTAAACGAGGCAAGAGTCCAAAAATGGGCCATTGCTTAGTATGCTAACTAAAAAGCACAAGGAGGAAGCATGGAATCTTCAATAATCAATTTTTTAGAGTTTACATTCAGTGCAACAAAATTCAAAAATATCAGAAGCCTGTTCCAACTATTGCATTCTTGTTATACAAACCTAGAGCTGCCAAATTCATGGTCTCTGTGCATCCAACCATACAAAAGTATCACAAGCTCATGATTTTGTACCTCATACAGGAAAAATTTTCCCAAAGCATTAACTAGAACAGAAATGTCTTGTTTCACAATGATTAAGAAACAGAGCCATATTTCCTAATATCATATGCAAAGGCAGGGTTTCATTACAGAAAACAATGAAATCGTTCAGTTTTAAAGTTTGCAAGAAATCCCCTGTAAAAGCAAAATACGCTTATATTTGATTCAATGAAAAGAGTTATTAGAGGAAAAAAGTTAGTATAACACGTGATTCAATGATATGTTGTAAGAGAAGTGGAATCTCAAAAGAAAATGCTACATAATCAAACAATAAAAAAAAATGGTAATGGCGCATCTCATAGATAATATAATTGAAAATTAAGGAGAAGGAATCCATCATTTATAACTTACCTAATTGAGCCACCTATTTGACGGAGAGAGGACGGCAGAACACGTCTTGAGTTCTGAATCCATGGATGCTGTAGCAAAGTTCTTGCATCCGGTCTTTGCATTGCATCCTAAAATAGTATCACCAGCAAATCACGGTGAATTGGCAGACACTATGGAACTGGCGCATCTTTACAAATGAAGGGAAAATTAAATTATTAAACTTTTTTTTTCTCTCTTGCCTTTTTGAAGCATTGCACCAGAAAATCAGTTAGGTCAGCAGATAGGCCCTCAGGTATTGGAGGATGGGGATCCTAAGAATAACAAAGTATTAAGTGCATTACTATCCAGGTAATATATAGCAGAGAAAAAGAGATCTATCAGATACCCTTAACAGATTTTTTCTCAAAGAAACTAAATAAGATATTCAGCACAACAATAAATGATATAGAATAGATGACAGTGAAATTGCATATGAAGCCACTAATGGTTAGTTTTCAAAAGCAAAAGCAGGGTTAACAAGAATGGAGAAAACATAGGGCTGGCATGGGTATAGGAAACACATCACATAGCCCAGTAGAGAACAATAAGTTCAAGAAATATAACACCTAGCAGAACAAATTTGGAACTAACACAGAACAAGAAGCAAAAGCACGGCAACAGAGGCTTTTAGCAGATGATTCCAAACAAATAAATTTTTTCACGCCCTTACCATGCTTTTGGTGGATCACATAAAATCAGAAACTAATACCAAATGAAGAAGATTAAACTCTGTACACGGCATTATGACAAATGCCAGCCTTCTTGTCAGCCTCATAAGTATTGGTGCATTTTAAAATCAATCTAAGCTATCCACCTTTTTATAAGTTAAATTTAAGAAGTTAGATTAAGTTTGACGTCAAACATAACCAAGCAAGATAAATGTGCAATACTTCAGGAAAGCTGCTGAACTAGTGCTTTCAAATTGAAGCACGTGCAGAGCAAAGCACAATAGCATAATTCACGTAAAAGTAAAAAAGCAAAGTTCTGGTTTAATTAACAAAAAGAGTTCATATATAGTTACAGAAACCAAAAGTTTAATCAATTTATTATATTCTATCAATCAAGCAATATCAAGTTACATTAATAAGCAAAATTAAGTAAAATAATGATATTATTATGACGCAAAAATTAAATAACTCCAATAAAATATAGGTTTAATTTAAAATACTTCGCAAATCAATATGAAATTATCGACAATGAAGAAATTTAAAAACTATAATTCAAAGTAACTTCTAATTTACATCTGATGGTCCAACTAAGGCTATTATGATGAAGAAATTTTGTATTTTTAGGGAGAAGCTGGGCCGAAGCCCTTCTCATAAAAAAAATTTAATAGTAAGCAATAAAACATATTTAAAATATATAAAGTTCAATGAAGATTAATAATGAAGCAACAATATGTCAATCATGACTAGCACAAAATAAATTATGATGCAGGAAAACCAAGCAAATCATAAAAGCTGAACAAAATAGCATTTATATTATCAAAACAGGTTGCATAAATGAAGCATGCACTTGGAGAACATTTCAGATCAGAAGGGAAGCGTGAGCTTCAGCCCTTAAAGGCATGCATTAGTTATGCCCAATGATTTTGGGTAAAAAAAAGTGCTTAAGATGTGCTTCTTGCGCTTCTAGAGCATGCTTCATTTTAGGCAACGCTATTAAAAATCAAATCCATTGAAAAAAAAAATTCAGTCTACATAAAATCAGGCATATTAAAGTACTCAATATAACATAACATGCATGATTGACGATGACCATCATTATCATTGACATTATCCTAACTAGGGGTATAAAAAATTGACACGACATGAAAATCCAACCCAAATTTTTGGGTTAGGGTCAACCTGATTGAAAATTGGGTCAGGTTTGGGTCTCCAATTCTAACACGTTTCAAATACCATGTCAAGTTCGGGTCAACCCGATAACTTGATGATGACCCGAAATGACCCACGCCATCTGATTTAAGGAAAGCAGCAAGCGTACCTTAATATGTCTAGGTAGTGGCCGCTATTCATTTCTACATGTTGTATCCTACTCACAGCTCTCTGTCTCTAGATTCGTCATCTATTTAGGTTTAGGGTTTCCTTTCCAGTCTGCACTCTCCAACTCTCTCGTCTCTGACTCTCAATCGGTTAGTCTTGTGTTCGTAAGTCAGACATTTCATATAAATCTTTACTTTTCAACAATTTCATAGAAAGTACATAGGGCATTTCATGTTTTAATGTTGCATAAGCGGTTGAAATGCATGGAAAATAAAGATTTGTTGTTGGATACTTTATGTCAGATATGATACAAGAAATTTCATAGAAATGAGCTAAAAAGTACAAATAGCCTTTATTATCTCCCATTCTGCAGTAGTAGGACAAGCCTTATAGTTTGAATCACCCAGCCCTTCAATAATACATAGCACTATCAAGCATAATGAAAGTAGAGTTCCATCTTGTCAGAACACATATCTCAAACCTCTTTTTGAATCTAAACAACTCTGCTTAACACAATTAAGAAATTTCTGCTTCCTTGCTTGAGAGCCCTTAACATACTTTATGCTGTCTCTGATTTTTAAGATTGAACCATCAATGTCCTTCAAGCCCTCTTGAACTATAAGATTAAATTCAAATGATTTCTCAAAAAGTCTACTAAAACATTGTTTGCAGAGGCGTTGTCCAAAATAGTGCTAAAAAGCTTAGACTCTACTTTCCACTCAAGCAAAAGAGATTGTAACTTCTCAAACAACACAATCCTAACATGAGGGGGTGGCATAAAAGAAAAAAACTAATGATCATCTTTTGAAGGTGCCAATCATTATCAATAAAATATACAATTAAACAAATAAACCCGTTAGTGTCTATAGACATCCAAGCTAGTACCTTTATATAATTGTGATTGTATATGAGATTTTTATTTAGAGAATAATTTGTTACAATCATTTCTTGCAATATTCCTAAAAAATAATTAATTTCTTACGATCATTTTTTGCAAATGAGAATGCTTCATGGTAGCTTAATGGACACGGCGCAGAACTGGAATTGCAGATATGATGATGGTTAAAAGAACATCTTACAACAACAATGACAATAATTCATATATTTCCAGGAAACAGGATTGACAGACATTAGAACATTATGAAACAATCGTATGAGTTCAATTATTTAAATGGCAAGCATAAAAAAAAAAAATACTCTGACATAAATTAGAAGTATCAAAAAAAGAAAGGCATGCATTGTGGTTTAATTTATTTTAAAAAACTAAAAACACAGAAGTGCAAATACTACTTTATCAGTTCACTGGAAAAGGTATTTATTTGAGAATTTGAAATGCACTTATATTTCTGAAAGGAAAATGTGACATTAGGTTATGAAAGAAAAAAATTCTCAGTATTTAAAAGAAATATATATAATTCAGCAGCTTTTGTCAAGGACCTGGACAATTCGAAACAATGCTGGCATAGGTTGAAGGTCATAATACGGAGGTACACATGTAAGCAACTCTAAGACAGTGCAACCAACACTCCAGATATCTGATGCAGCACAGACCCCAGACATTTCAATGACCTGAATGATAGATATTTGTGATCAAAAGGTGACCATAAAGTATGAGACAATAATAAGATTGAATAGCAATAACGGAAGAAGGAAGTTTTTTGAAATGAAAATTAAAGATGCTGATTATAAGCACAACAAACAGATTTTTAATAAAGAATTTTAAAATAAAAATGAGATCACCGTAATATATTTTACCACTAGGCATCTAAAGACCAGAGTAAACTAACAAAAGGTTACAGTTCATAAAGAGCCTATTAAGAGAATGTAAAAGCTTTTATTAAAGATTCTTACAAGCACCCCAAGGCTTGGGTCAAATTCTGTATTTCTTAACCTTAAAAGAAATACATTTTGGTCCAAAACTATGGTTTACAAAACTCCCGATCAGGTATTCATTTATAGGATAAATCAAGTTTGGGCTAGGTAATGATTAGGTCCGCTAAATTTAAGATATTACAATTACGTTCCCTGAGTTTAATAAGTTTCAGAGAGGACCTTCAACAAAAAAGTATATCGTTCTTTCCAAAAGGTTCGTACATACAAATCTCAAGATAATTGGATATTTCTCGGTTTGTCATATCTCGGACTTGAGAAGCTTCTTTGAGGTTCTTGGTAGTGGAGTGTTATGATGACCCTGCAGTTAACCTGTTCCAGTAGGCTAAAATACAACTGCTCTTCCGCTGCTGGCGAGCTTTCCTGCCGGTTCAGTGGGACTCTCTGGCATATTAGGTGAGATTTCCGTGGCTTCAACAGCTGGTGAACTTTGCTGCAGATTCAGTGATTCTTTCTAGTGTCTTTTGCAAGATTTCTGTGCAAAAAACTTGCTGTTTTTACAAGCTTAATGGAGGATAATCACTTTTTTTTCATGCTTCTATTGCATTTGGAATAAAGAGTACCTTGTGATTGTTAAAGGATCTGAGACATGTAAAAAAGACAATTAAGTTATTTCTAAATAAAAATTTAGTTGAACGTGTTATTCCTTTTACTTAAAGAAGTTTACTCAATGATCAAAAGAAGAGACTTGAACATTTTTGGGAGAAATTATCTCCTTGTACAAGCAAAAAGTTTGATTCAGTTACTTCTCCCCTTATTATTAGTTTGCATGTGACTGAATGTAATCGAGTTGAATATAATTCGGGTTACAACAAGTTCATGATGTCTCAATTAGATTGCATAGACTTCATATTGCAGAATGTCATCATCGAATTTCTAGTAGAAAACTAGCAAAATATCATCAGTGACAGCTTTCTTCATATTTCAAGTTTCATCAAATAACAAATAATTGCTAAATTAAGAAAGTTTTGGCCTGTGAAGTTTCACGTCGATGTTGCATGATTGCGTAAACCTCATTATGTATTTGCATCAAAATCCTACACCGTAAACTTTCCCGCATCAAATTAATGTCTGACAGTTTTCATATCAAAAATTCAAAATTAGACAGCTTCACAGAAATAGACATTAAAGAGGAGGTAATAAGCATTAGTTTTTGAGCCCCAAAACAAGGGAACGGTTGAACTGGAAGTATAGATGAAGTCCTTTTGGCGAGAAGATGGTGAAATAAGCCACATTATACCACTAAACTTATTATTTAGCAAATTAAAATAAAAAAAATAAAGTTTGTGAAAACCAAACCAGACATAAAATCAGAAGAATGAGATATTCAAGGTTCAATAATTCGATATGGGTTGAACCAGATGAGATAATAAATATTAAAATTATTTAAATAATATTTTAATGACATAATAATTATACAATAATGTAAATTTATGACTAAAAAATAAATAAAATTTGTAAACAAATAATATATTTTATAATTTTAAATTTGAACATATTCAATCTTTAAATTTAATTCATATTTAACATAATATTCATTCACATGTAATTTATAGATTTAATATAAATAACTGCTAATTTATATTATGTATTTAGATATAATTTAAAAGTATAAATTATATACAAATTTAAATTATAAAATTATATTTATAAATTGATGTTAGATCATTAATAATTAAAAAATAGATAAAAATTAATCTTATATATTATATAATTGAGAAAATGACCAAAATGATCCCTCAACACTTTGTGAGAAACCAAAATAGTCCCCATCTATTTTGAGGGATCATTTTGGCCCCTCAACTCCTCCAAATGGGACTATTTTGGTCATGCCGTCAATTTTAAATGAAAAAGTGAGATGGGTGTTGGGTGGGAGGGTATTATGGGAATAAGTAAATAATATTTATCGTACGGTGGTGCAGAGCAGCGTATTAGCAAATCCTCAAGCACAGCTAAGCCCCAGTGTCTCGTAGCGCGTTGCATTGATCCCACATTTCCGCGACGTCGATCGCGTCAATCACATAGTCCATCCCCAGAGCAGTGATTGCGTAGACCTCGCAGTCCTGCAGCGTCGATCCCGGAGTAGATCCCAGCATCCGTCAATCATAACCGATTTTGTCGAAGAAGTGCACGAATGGAAGAAAGATGGATACCTTCGCAACTAGCAAGCTCCCGTCGTTGTCGTTACTTCCGATCGAATAAAAGAATGAAAAAGTGTGATTTCAGATATGATAGGAAGGAACATCGTCGAAGGAGGTGAAGAAGTTATTTAGCTAGTAATTCAAAACTATACCTGTCACATGAAGGAGACGAAGTCGAAGAACAACAAACAGTGGAGAAGGGGAAAAGCAAACCTAACAAATTCGCCGAATCAAGCCATCCACAAAAATATGAAAATAAAATAGTAAATGAATTAGTAAAATAAGATACATCAAGAAAAAGAAAAAGGCGGAATTATAACCTAGGAATAAAGTAATTTAAATTTTAATTATCATATTTATATTGATTATTTGTTAACAATAATTATAATTAATAATTATAAATATAATAAGCAGCCCATAAAAATTATATTTATTAAAAATTTTAATTAAAAAAGACCAAATTATCCTCACACTTAACACCATCAACTCTACCATTAGATGAAAGAAAAAGAACTCTTATTTGGAGTTGAGAGACCAAATTGGTCCCTCAAAATAGTTGGGGATCATTTTGGTCATTCACAAAGAGTTGAGGGACCATTTTGGTCCTTTTCTCTTATATAATTAAATATTAATTAATTAATTAATTAGATAAAAAGATAAATATTATTAACTAAAAATTAAACATTATTTATATTATAAAATATTAATTAAAAATATGTGCTAAAATAAGTAGTGTATATGTTTTGAACTTAAAATCTTTATAATGATTATTTATTCCTACATTATGTGGACATCACCTGGGCAGGGGGACTATGTTAACATTGTTTATATAGCTTTTTTGGTTCACAAGAGTAAAGAAGTCACATGTCATGATAGGGCCATGTAATAAAGCTTGATTAGTGCTCATTTGGCAAATAATTCTTATAAAAGTTTAATGCTTATTTTAAGATTAAAAAATATTAAATTTAAATTAAATCATTAAGTTAAATATTTTATATTATTTAAAAAAAATGGCCGGTTTTTAAAAACCATCATTGACTTGCTGGTTAACCGGTCGAACCACCAATTTGACACAGTTTAGGCCGGTTTGTTGCGAAATCGATTTTGGGAATTTATTGACCTGATTGGCTGACCGGTTCTCCATGCAACCAGTTGAACCGGACGGTCCAATCCGACTTTTAAAATGTTGGAAAAAATGACCAAAAGCAAGATAAGCAGCTCACTAATAAATAGGTTTCTAACCATAGCCAAGTAAGAACAAGCTCATGAACCTTCTGCATTCCAACGCAAAAATCTCCATATAACAATTTTAAAAAAAAAAATCTTTCAAGAAATGCCTTAATGTTACCTCAGGAGCCATCCAATAAGGCGTTCCAACAACTGAATGTGTGTTAAGATCTGCTTCATTTAACTTTGTTGCAACACCAAAATCAGCAAGTTTAACAAGACCCTACAAACCATTCAACCATTTACCAAAACGAGTCAGCTTGACAAAAGGAAATAAATGAAGAAAATGAAAACAAAATTCATCCAAGTGGTTACAAAAAGCAGTTGAAAAATCATAATAAGTTGATCAACTAAGAAAAGCATGCATAAACAATAAAGCATCCGTGCACTCTTTGAAAGCTTGAAGATCATCTGATAGGAAACACTTGAGAAATAGAGGTAAAACCTTGCTGAAATTTAATTCCAACAACTTGTAAAACAGTAATTTAGAAGATATTGGTGGAATAACAAGAGAGAAACTCCTCAATTGATAGAAGATGGAAGAAAAACAAACAAGGTACAATAGATCTTCAATTCGAGAAGAAGATCCGGCTCTCCCAATCCCTAGCTGGCAACTAGAGCCCAAACAAATCTGAGAAAACTCCCCACTTCAGCCAAAAACAGAGATAATCCCCAACCCTAGGCTTACAATCTTCCTTAAAGCAATCCAAAAACAATAAAATACCCAAACAGCCCCCTTAATTTGAATTTCCACCCTAATCCCCTTCTTAATTACTGCATTAATGCATGGACCCCACCACCAAAGGGAGCCTAACTCCTGTGGAAGCTCCTTCTGTAAACCTGGACCGGTCCAGGTCCAGGGACAGGTCTAATATAATCCAAGTTAGATTTAAGTGAGATCTTCTACAAGCGTATTTAAACACGAGAATTTATCTTTAAAAAATACTTGATGCCCAGTAGAGGCAATTTAGTAGAAGTTATAGAGTAATCATTTATGTTCAAGGTGAATGAAAGAGTTTCTGTATATTGATACCCTTTTCATTCTTCCTAGCCTACTGAAACAATTCAAGCTAGAATTAGCACAAAAATAAAATATAAAAATAAAAATAAAAAACTAGTCAAGACGTTATTTAAACTTATCTGGCGGAACAACTAGTATAACTGGGGATAACTAGCCAAGAACTTCAGTACCACTGTTTCTTCATCTCACAAGCAGCACCACAAGAACAAAAATAGACTACTTGAAAGTAACACTGCACAATTTGGTAAACACTTGAAAACGACAATAATTTTTACTACTAATAATAATAATAATAATAAGATTAGCCTATATAAAACAGTACACTTGTTCAAACAGTGGTGCAGAAAATCATACTGATTGTGGTCAAATATTGATTTTTGATACTCTGAGAAAAGAAAACTTTTGATATGGCGGGAGAACTGGAGAGATATATAAATGAAGGGGATTGTAGAGATAGACTAATAAATGCCCTAAAGAGAGAGATGCAAAGGATAGAGATGAAGCAGCAAGAAGAAACCTAAAAGAGAGAATCCCCAGAGGAGATGCATTAGAAAAGTATGATCTCAAGTCATTTTGTCATTCAATCAATTATTCATTAAAAGTATCTCCCATCTAGGTATAGGAGTACAAATAAGATCAAAATCAAATCTGCCTAAATTTATTAAAAGGTATAATTGAAGATAAAATAAACCAAATAAATCTGAAATTTTAATTTTAAATAAAATAACTAAAATAAATCCTAAAATCTAATTATCGTGTGGCATCAATTCTCCAAAGCTACAAAGATTTTGAAGAGGACATCGTCAGCATTTTCGATGCCGGAGATCGATGGCCACGAGCATGAGTTGTATTTTCATTATTTTATGTAGTAATTTATTTTTATTTTATGTTTTTCCGTTTTTGTCCTTATGGGTATTTGACCGCTATTGTAGCCCAAGGGGCATTTTAGTCTTTTGCATTCTTTGTCATTTTGAGGCCTATTTATATGGCCCTCTTCTTATGTAATAGTAGTTTTGGAGATGAAATGAAAATTACTTTGTGTTCTCTTTGTGAGTGCAAAACCTCCACGATCTCTTAGTGAGTTCGTAGGAGAAGCTAGATCTCTTTGTGAGTTCTAGGTTCTATTGTTATTCCATTTTTATCTTTTTTTTTTAATTTTCTTGATCTCGTCGTCATCACGGTGGTTCGGATGAAAGCATTTGTGGAAGATTGGAATTCACTCTTTGGATCCCTAGATTTTTCCTACCTCTTCCCCTCCCTTGCTCTTGCCGCCGCCCCCTCCCTGGATTGCCCCGGCCGCCGGCCTGCAGCCCCCAAACCGCCGGCCAGCAGCCACCGGCAGTCCTCCAGCCCACCGGCCATCCTCCCCCTTTGCCGCCGCCCCTTTCCCTTCCTGCAAATTCCAGCTTTGAAATTCAGCCATGATTCAAGAGTGTTTCCTAAAGGGTTTTCCTTAATTCAATCAATGGAATTAATGGGATTTTGAATTTCAGTTTCAGATCTGAAATTAGTAGGATTTTGAATTTCAATTTCAGATCTGAAATTCAACCGTGAGATCAAGATTGCTTCTTTAGGCGTTTCCTTAATTCATGCCATTGGATTAATTGGACTTGAATTTCGATTTTGAAATTCAAAATCACCCCAATTAATTGTCTGTAATTTAGGAAACTCTTTTGTGTTTAAAGCTGAAGTTATTTCAGATTTTTATTCCAATCAATTGAATAATCAAGTGGGCCCCACCTCCTCAAAACCGAAACCCCTCTCTCCTCTAGCTTGGCCGGCCCACTCCATTCCCCTTTCTCTTTTAATTTCGCTTTTAATGCTCCCCAATTAAATCCCTAAATTAAGTTCAATTCAAATTCAAATTGGGATTGATTGAATCTACTCATTCCTAATTGAAATCATTGAATAGGCAAGCATTCAAACCCTGCTCCACCCCTTCCCTCACGTTTTCTTCCCAGGAAGGGATTCTCAATAGCTGTCCAATACTTACAGCAGAACGTTCTTGCTGTCCAACTTCCCTGGAAGGTCCTCCTGGCTGCCCAATATCCTATCAACATGGAAAGCGGCTGTCCCACCCCACGGGGTGCTGTTTGGTTTGTTGTTTGAAGAGTATCAGGTGCCCAAAAGGTCTTCTCAACCATCATTTGCTGCTGTCTACACATCCCCAGATGCTGGCCATCAACTTTGGCACGTCTTCCATTGTCGTGCCTTCTTCCGGAAGGCTCCTAGTGCTGTCCATACGCTTCCACCTGCAGAAATTAGCTGCCCAGCAGTTTTGGTGAAGTTCACGGACACTGTTGCCTATTGTCCATAACTTTCTAATTGCTGTCGCCAACTTCGGAAAACAAGGAGGTTTTGCCTGTTTTGGAGTTTTCCAACTACTGACTATTGCTTGATAATGTTGACGTGAATCTGACGAGCAAGATCAAAAGAGACATTGGATCATCACTCCGAAGACTGACCGTCATCCTCCACACTCCGGCCACCTGAATCCAAGAACGACGATCTTAAGGTCCTTCTTCCCTCGGAGTGACTCGGTTCTATGTGGGGACTCTTTCTTACGCTAATAAGCCTAGATTAGTTGAGCGTATGGGCTCCAAAAGGTGGAAGTTCTCATTATTTAAATTGTGGATCTTGTTTATTGTCCGTAGCCATAGCAATTAGTCTTATGTGTTTTTTTTGAAAATTGTTTGTGTTAATCGAGTTTCGCTCTTCTTTGCCTAAGCAAAGTTAAAAGGCAAGAATCCTAAGATCAATAATTGTTATAAGTGGTAATTTATTTGGGATTATTTTGTTAATTGTTCTCTTTAATTTTCTCTAAAGTAACTTCACATCGCATGTTTGGTTTCACATCATATTTTGGTATCAAAAAAGCATGGCGTAGCAATGCTTTGCCTTTTTGGCTAGATGCATCTACGCGAGTCTAGTTTACCTTCGTCTTTGTCCGTTTGCATGCATATACATTTAAGGTACTAATTTGGTGGTTTTACATTTGCTGTCGCCAGTAATTTCTGGCATGCTATTTTCTTGTAAACATCCATATCTTACTTTACCTAAGTGTTATATTTGGTCACTTGCCACCGACGCGCTTCAACTAGTCACTTGCCTACACTTAGAAAACCTTGCTGTCCAGAACTTTTCCTGCACTGCTCTAGTGACTTTTGTAAGTACCCGTAACCCTTTGTCAAAGTTGGTCTCTTAGCATTACCGCAGTATAAGGCCTTAGGAGCACCCTACTGTAGTGTTTAACGGAGTGCTGTCCTCACCCTAGAAGTTAACCTAACTGCTTGGACAATTCTCCCAACCTTTGTGTAGCTTTGCTCAGCCCTTTTTTTTTTCCTGCCAGCGTCAATAGCAAGTTCATAAGTATGTTTCCTCCTGTAGAGTAGTCCCATACACCAATTTCTTTATGGTACTACTTAGCACTTCCCCAATGGACCGATTAGACTTCCAAAAGAGTTTAGATTGACATCGTTAACCTACGATGGGCAATATGACTAAGAATTATGACGAGAAACCCGTTGATTATCCCACTCTAACTACATGCCCCTCAGCTTATCACCGAGACTAAGGCTAGCTCCTCGCCTCACTTTGAGCGCCTTACAGTCTACCCAACTTTGATGGTTCCTCGGACCCTTACTACTTTAGTGGATGGGTTTAGCAATTAGAGGGACGATTTTTGAATCGCATGAAATACCTAATTCTTCCGCCAGTTTAGCATTGCCGGTCACACTTGAGCGGGAGTGCTCTCCACTTTTGGATGAAGTTAGAAGATCATAAGAGTCTCGTGGTGATCCCTACCCTCCGATTTGGAAAAATATGAGCGAGAACTTGGATTAAGATACCTTTCCCCTACTTATGGTCAACCCATCTGTAGTAACATTCAGGGTTAACTACCCACCCTAATAGGTCTTCACAACACATGGTGGCCGACCCTCTAAACTGGGGCCTTTTTGTTAGACTATCTCTTATGACTCTCCACTTGGACCTACTTCTAAGCATCCCAGTCAACCTTTTAGCCCTCCTAGTCCCTTTGATCCCTATGAAATATGAATAAAAGAGGGAAAACATTAGGAGAAGAGGTTCACCTGGCCTGAGACTGAGTGCATCCATTCGTTTGGAATGCTAATGATTACATCTAATGTAAAACCCTCCAAAGACTCTGATTTTTTTTAGTGCAGTTAGTCTACGATCTGGCC